TGTTTTTCTTAAAGTCCTTGCCAAGACCTATATTTTGGTGTATAACAAGTATCTCTTAGACATTGTATTATAATTAAAAATTAATTTAAAGTGCTAAGCGTCACGAACAATTTTGAGGAAATTCGATTTTACACCATGTTGCAAATGTAATATCTCTGCGAATACTTCATTAATCATAACGATTTTTTCACCAGATAATTAAGTAATCAGATCATTAAAAGTTTTGTCTAAAATATACAAAATGGCGGATTTGTAAGTTAGTTCAATTCAGCTTTAAAATGTTGAAGCTGAAATTTTGATATGAAGGAAATAGTTTAGGAACTATCTTTCTTTACAAAAAAGGTTACATATGTAATTTTCTTTAAGTCTGTAAGAGAAAATTTTCAATTTTACTATAATTAACCAAGTTATGATGAGTTTTACAAAACTAGTCATAAGTCATTGCTGTGTTATTCGTCTACTGATTTTTTCATTTCAAACTATAGAATTCAACAATGTTTATCATATTGCAAAAGAAATATTACTTTTTGTTCAAGACAAGCAGAGAAAATTAAATTATAGTAAAAAATTTGACCAAAAATTTTGTAACGGTTTTTAAAATTATAAATTTGTGAGCAAATAAGAGCAAAATTTGTTGCTCAACTTAAATTTCATTGTTTTTATAGTTAATTTAACTTACTTTTAAGCCTTTTTCGAATGTAAATTAAATAGTAAAAGACTCTTTAGATATCAAGTAATTGTTCTTGACCGATTAAGGTTAATAGTTTTGATTTAAAAATACATTTTACATTCAATTTGGTTTTCAGTTAATTTAACTTAAATAACTCATTTTTAATAAAATCTATTTTGATCATATGATAGAAAAAAGCAAGCTCTACAACTTTTGTCAAGCTTCCAAACATTTATCTTGCTTTCTTTTCAAAGAAAAATCGATTTCAAATATTAATTTGTTAATTAAACTTACTTAATAAGTCGCCATTTTGAAAAATGAATGTTAAATAGAAACTTACTATTATTAGCTATCATGTAGTGAAGGAATCATATTAATTGGGCAAGATCAGAAAAAAGGGGAAAAAATCTTCAAATGCTGATTTCTCTGCTTCCGAGCATCCAATTTGTATGATTTTTTCACAGGTCGATAGCAAATTTCAGAAAGTTTAACTTATAATTTCATTTTTCAAAATGGCGGTTTAATAAATTAGCTTAATTAACAAATTCACATTTGAAATTGATTTTTCTTCAAGAAAAAAGCAAGCTAAATGTTCAAGTCCTTGACAAAAGTTGTAGATTATGATATTTTCTATCATTACATCAGACTAAAGCTTAATAAAAATCAATAGATTTAGTTATTTTAACAAAAAATCAACTTGTTGAAAAAATACCTTTTTCAGCAAAAATACTAACTCTAGTTGACAGAAAACAATTTTTAAGTAATTAAAAAGTCATTGTGTATTGTAAATGTATGTGGAAAATGCTTAAAATTGAGTTAAATTTACTTAAAAGCATTGTAATTTCAATTGAGCAACATGTTTTGCTCTGTGTTGCTCATGATTTCACACAAAATTTGAATTTTTCAAAGCTGTTACAAATATTTTGGTTAAATTATTTAAACTTATATGATTTTCTTGACTTTCCATAAAGATTTTTAAGTTTTTCTTTTGCAAAAAGATGCATCTAATGTATTGTTATAGTTTCAAATTGAGAGATCATTAAAATAATAAAACAGTAATGGTTTAATAGAAGTTTTCTTAAACTCACTGTAACTTTGTTAATTAAAGTAGAACTTAAAATTTTCTTTTATAAACTTAAAGACAGTCATATTTGCAAGCTTTTTTGTAATAAAAGCAAGTTATTAAGATGTTTCCTTCATATAGAAATTTTAACCTAAACATTTAAAACATTAATTAAGCTAACTTACAATACCGCCATATTAATAATTTTATGCAAGTAATTCACTATTCTGATCATTTAATTACTCAGTGAAAGAATTTTTAAGATTGGTGAATCAGTTGCAGAGATATTGCATTAGCAACATGGTGTAAAATCGAATTTCCTCAAAATTGTTCGTGACGCTTAGCACTTTAAATTAATTTTTAATTATAATACAATTTCTAAGAGATACTTGTTATACACCAAAATATAGGTCTTGGCAAGGACTTTAAGAAAAACATAAGTCTTAAATACATATTTCGCATTATTAATTCAAAAATTGTAAATTATTGCTCAGCGTCACGAACAATTCATTTTCGATCTTGCCCAATTAAGTTATTAAAAGCAGAGAAATCTGAATTTGAATATTTATTCCCTTTTTTTCTGATCTTGCCCTTCTTTGTTATAGCTATGTTGTACAATGTGTTCAATTCTAAAAGTTGCTTTGCTGCTCCCGAGCTGGTTATTTCATGAACGATCATTAAATTTATTCTTACTTTATACAAGTTGAGGATAAGTCTTACCATCTCTAGCTTAACTGTAGATTTGTCACATTAAGGGCGAGGCTGTGTTAAAAGGCTTTTAATCTATTCTTTAATGTAAATTCGTATTCAGGCTCATAACTCGTCTTCTAGTGATTCCTTTAAAGGATAGAAGAAAAAGATATGCACTTAGCATTTGGTAAACTTTAGTCAGTCTTCAGTAATTAAAAACTAATCCAAAATTATCAGAATCATAATCAATCGCAGGCTTAATCAATCTTTCATACATGTATTATTGAAGATTATAATCTACGGGAGGTTTGAGATATATTGTTGCTCGGGCTTTTTTCACATTCCATTTTCAAAAACCTCAACAGAGAAATTTTTTTTTTGCAATAACATTTTAAAAAGAATTTTCTTCTTTTTTTATTTCACAAACAATTGGCTTTTAAGCGAAAGTTTCCTGTGTATTACTGTGCACATGCATGTTGCTCCGAAAAAAAAGTGAAAATATATTTTCTATTAAAACGAACTCGATAAAATGCAAAAAGAAACTTTTTTTCTGAAGAAAATTCTGAAATGCTAGAGTTATGAGTGGTTAAAAAAAATTAAGTAGGATTAGTTGGATGTGGATGTGAGAATTTATGGCGAATCTTAACGTCACACTGTAGTAGAATCTTTGACATAACTACGTGGCAGTTTTTAGGGACTAATGCTAAGGTCTAGGCTTAGACTATAGCGACTAGTTGTTTCGTATAGGCTAGCTTCAAGCAGCCACTCAAATTCTTTAAATTTGGCTAGATTAAAAACAAATAACTGACAAAATGCCCAGTAAGCTTCTTAATTCCACGAATAACAGCACATATGAAAATATTTATGCAATTCCTGACTAAAAATACATATTTTATGTGCAATGTTGACTCGGAGAGAGGAAAAAAATATTGTTGGAAAAAAGCATAAATCAATCACTCCAGTGTGAGTGATATAAAAGGTTTTTTGTACATTAAACTTTAATACTTTTCATTGTAATCCACTTAATCTTCTTAGCACAATAGTGCAACATGTATAACCATTCATGTACATATCAGAATTTCTTCTTTAACTTCTTCTTGTTTTTAATTGAAAACTTTTTTTTACAATGACTTCTTACATGATGAAATTAAATGAACGAGAATCTCGTATCAAAGCTAGCTAGTTGCTGTATGAACATCAGGTGTACGATGAAAATTGCATTTTTTTTACCACTTTACTGCTGCTTCATAGCTTTCTTCATAATTTCCCAATAAATTGTTTTCATACCTCTTTAACAACATTCCATATGCTCCGAACGCGATTATTATTTCGATGCAATGCAATACTTGAAAGCTTTCCCGGGATGCTTACTTTTTGGAATGGATTATTTGAAGTCTCTGTGACTCAAACTTGTTTATGGAAGGTTCTTGGAAAGAAACTATGGATTTGACTAGTGATTTCTTATGCGGTTGGATGTTCAGATCAATTGTGATTTATAGCCTGAATTAAGTATTGAATGGTGCTAGCTTTATCACTACCTGCTGCATATAAATTCAAAATTGAATGGTTCTAACATAGAAAACCTTCCAATTTGAATTCGTAGACCTCCAACAAGATTTATTGGTTTTCCACAACGTCCTGCCTTACAAATATGATTCATCTTACAATTTGAGCATCATTTAAGGCTAAGCAACAGACTTGCAATATACTAGATTCAACAAGTGCTTACCTAGACTAGATATTAACATCTGATTGCCAATTTTATTTCCGAAAATACTCTTATAACCAGCAACCGCACAATTGAAAGCTTCTGCAATGCATTTCTCGGGCTTGTACACAGAACTACAAGAGCAGGAAGCGAACGGCAGTTTTAGAAAATAAAATAGATTTTAATCAGCATTTTTGTATTAAAAGCATGTTGTTATTTTGCATAATTACTTCGTATAACGCCTTCCTGATGCAATTGCAAAATATTTTTAATGCTCTGCCGTACGTTTCAATGAAAATTAGTTTTATCATGAAGCGCAAGAGGATGAATGAAGCAAGTGGGGGTTAAAATTTTAAGTGAATTTTTATATTCTAGCTTATTCAATATCATAGATCTCTAAATCATAATAATAATAAGAGGAATGGTGCTTGAGAAGAAAGTTTTGTGCTTTATGCTGAGTGGCTTTGGTATTTGTAAATTCCCATAGCTTGTTATCTGCATTCCTTATGAACATGGGAATTTTTATAGCAGGGTAGGATGATTTTTAAGGCAAATGATGAGAAACATAGTGTTTGCTGCACGTAACCTAATTATTTTGGTATCATTAGGTTGTGACTCAAGAGCGATGACATGAAACAAGTCCAATGATTATATGAGCACTAATCTCCCTATTCTCCAACAGAACCTCAACCCCAGAACACGGAAATAATCAAGAGAGAGAAATTTAATGTTTTATTTTCAAAAAAAACTTTTCTTCATGCAATTCAAAATAAACTCGAAAACATTTAATGAATTAATGAAGTCTTTATTGCTCACGCGAACATCAAAATAAATTCTTTCTATTATGAATTTTAAATGGATAATGGAAAGGAGTTTTAGACAGGTTTGGTCTAATTTTTTTGTTAAACTTTCTTTCCATTAACTTTATTCAGCATTTTTCTATTAATTTTATCAAAAAATAAAAGCCCAGCAGCACGTTCTACAGATTCAGGTGGAACTCGAAAACTTTCTAATGGAGTGTCGTCGGATATTTTTTCATTTGGCATGACGTAAGACTCCATTTCGAGTTTACCGTCTTTGGTCTCACAAACGACGACTTTGAAGAAATGTGTTGGCACAGCTACATTGTTAGTTCCTATGACTTCATATTTTACATAAAGTTTACCGTCAGTCTCTTTTCTTGGTAAGTATAATGGACCGGTACAGACGTAGACATTTTGGTATACTTTGGTGAGCTTTCTTACGTAACTGTGGAAAAGTTTAAGAATCAGGTCCATCACTCTATCTTTTTAGCGCTCAACTCACCTTTCAAGTCTATTCCACGAATCCCTATTGAATCCAACACCAACTTGAGGACTAATATTGCTGAGATAAAATGTCTGTTGGACATGATTTTGGCTCTTTTTATGATTTCCAGCTGCTGCTAAGTGCCCCCTGTCATATCCAGATTTCTTATAATCCGTATTATCAGCTCGAAAGAATGGCTGTAAATGAACGAATTAAATTGTCATGTCAATTAATCTTATGGATATGTCCATCAATTTACATGAATGCTTTCGTCAGGCTTAAAATCACATTTTGCTCTGTCAACTTCGTTGTTGTGCTTTACGTGTTCTGATGTTAAATGTTCAAATACCCAATGTGCTGTTCTCGTCTTACGGTCATAGCTTAAAACGTAGTCATCAAATGATCGAATATTATCTAAGCCCGGAAATCCATATTTCATAATTGTTGCTATTCTATTTTCTGTTGGTATTATTGCCGGCTTATCGATGATTTCATTACGTAAAACAGGTACGGCTGCACTGACAGTAGCATATATTGGCAATCCCGGCTTGTTAAAATATTTTAAAGGACTGACATTACACTAAGAATGAGATTTATAATTAAAATTTGTCAATTACATAAAATTAATGTTTCTAGTCTTACATTATTATCTATAGAACTTTGTACTGATTTGCGTCCGACATAAAATGATATTCCACTTATTCCCGAAAAAATAATTAATTTATTAACTACACTTTTTATTTGGTATCTCATTTTATATAAAAATAAGTTCGATTCCTTAAAATTTTTGGTTTTCACATTTTAAAAGATGTAAACAAAGCGATTACAGCGCCACAACTGTGTCAAAACTTAAACTAAAATATGTTGGATGGATCTTAATTGAAATGCAAATAAAATACAATTTTCTTAGTTATAGCTTGAGTTTTATGTCCAACAATACAGCAAAATAATCAATATTGACGTTTGTTTTCAAGAATGGTGATATTATTAGTCTTTAACTGTCGTCTACATTCAAATTTATAGCTTCATGTTGAACTTTAATATTTAATTACATTGAAGGTCTTTTCTGAGTAGGGTTTTTTTCCTTTAAGTTCTGTTTTATTGAAATTAATTAAGGGGTTGATTATGTAAAAGTATAAATTTGACATAATTGATGTTTTGGATATAAATTCTGAATTCAACTGTGTTCATTAATTTTTTTCATACTTAGAAGCTTCTACATTTTTCATTAAATCGTGTATCATCAAATCTTTTTAAATCGAAAAGTTCAAATATGTGCATTAGTTCTGCATTCATAATCACATTTAGACTTCAATAAGCACCGAAAAAAAAAAGAAGCAATGCAACCAAACACTTTCAGCATAAACTCTTTCATTATTCTAATTACTCGCATTATAACTTTTGCATTCATCCGTTTCATTAACTATCAAAAGCCACAAACACAAAAATGATTTTTCTCCTCATTTTACGTTCCTGAATGTCTGTAATTAATTTCAATTTGCTTCAGATTTGATTTAATTATCGTGAATAGTATTCAATTGAGTCTGTTGGGAGAGAGGAACATAATTGAATTAACTCATTCCCTATTTTATTTTATGAGATGAATTGAAAATTGAGAGGATGCGGGAATAAAGTTTTTTTTTTGTTGTGTGAATATTATTATGATAGTAGAATAGTGTGGGATGTGATAAATATTGTATAGTGCGTAGTGGAATCGGGTCTAAAGCTTTTATGTCAAGAACTTAAAAATTTCCGTTAGAAATTCAAAATCTTTTAAAAATGAAAATTTAATAACTTATAATTGAGATTGCAGATTTAATTTTGAGTTTTAAAGAAATTATAAAATCCTTCTTCGACAATCATGAAAATTAGAAATTAAATCCCTCAAAAGGGTTTTTAAAACCAAAAAGCAGGAGAAATTAAGCTCAAAACAAAGAAAATTCTAAGAAATTCCTTAAAAGTAAACATTTCAGAAACAGATAACGTCAATTGCCTAATCGAGGTAATAACAACATAAAGAATAAGCCTTCAAAATTAATAAAGATGATTAAAAATTTCGCTCAACAAAAGAATGAAAATTTTCTCCCCAGCATTTCATTATAAAATCATATTTTAATCATTTTTAAAGAAATGAGTTGGAAAATGTATATTTTCACAAAAATTATCTATAATTAACTCTAACATAATTGCTGAAAACCTTGAGGCAATTTCTTTTGTACTCTTTCGTAGAAAATCTTATTCAATAGAATTTTAAATAAAAAAATATGTAAACATTTTTAATTAACTTCTTTCTTGAATTGTGAATTATTTTTAATTTTTCATCGTGGATTTAGAAACAGATTTAAAAGTTTTAGCTTAAAGGAGATGTAAGACTTTTTTGTGTAAAATGATTACTTTTTAGAAAAAAGAAATTAAAATTATTACAAAGATTGAAAACAAAATCAGGAACGTAGTCATTAAGAAGGGGTTGTGCTCATAATTGTTCTTAATGGCAGAATCACAGTTTGGTGAAGTCGACCTGGAACATGGCGCAATTTAAATTGATTGATTTTCTATCAAACATAATTTACAAGAATTCACATCTAAACTCGAATAAATTCCTCAATTATAACAACATGAAATACATAACAATTACAAGCTGCCTGCAAATTAAAACTTTCAATTTTCCCACAATTCTGTCTCATCTTAATTAATTAATGAGCATTTATGTTCCTTCAAAAAACTAATTTTTATTCCTCTAACTTCATTTCTCACAATTATAAAGCTTGCACAATATCAATTACATGAACATACATCTCAACCTAATTGTAATTAAAACCTCTGCAAAAAAAACTTTTAATCCAATGCTGCTTCCGTTCGCATATATTCATTTCTGTCTATCTGCTTCTCTTTCGTCTTTTGTTGCTGCACAGACAATTGTCGTTGCTATAAATAAAATACTATATATGTGGAAGTGCTTTAGAATGAGAGACATTAAAGTGTGCATTTAACCTTTATATTGCAGACTCTTATGATAGTATGATAGCTGTATCATTGCTATTTATGCAATAGAAACATTAAATATAAATTGTTAATTTTCATGTTGAGCGAGAAAATTTTCTCCTTAGAATTTTTTTTTTATGAAAGAAAAAGTTTTTATGCTTCTTTGCTTCTTGTGTTGTTGTACATTTTTGGAGAGATTGCTTGTTGGTGTGAAACTATCGAGGATTATGAACGATTTAAAATAATTTGCTTCAATTTTGAATTTTTGTAATTTTAACTTCCTTAATTTCAAATTTCAAATGTGCAGGAATTTTAAAAATTTAACAAACTTACAGACACAGCACCGACCATAGACTCGTCAAAACTTCCCAACAATATCTTCAGCATCAAGCAAAACAAAACTTTTTCTTTTCCTACTTCTTCATCCTAAAGGATTTAATTACCAAAAACTATTTGTTAACTGTTGACAACCACATTCTACTGCTGTCGAACTTTTACCTAATTTTAGTTCTTACTCATCCTTTTTATTGGATTTTAATCTAGCACAACGTTATTTGAAGAACCATTACTTTATTCTTCTTTATGTGTACTTTCTTGTGTTTTAAAGAAAACGAAGTTGGTGCTTATTCTTCCATTCAAGCTGTAAATGATAATAAGAAGTGGAATAAGTAGTAGACGAGATAGATCCTGCCATATGCAATAAACACAAAGCAAAATAAATTCTGTTACGAAAGAATGAAAAGTGAATAAAATGAAAGATTACAAGGATCTTTTGAGGATGGCGCATTTCGGGTTTGTACGTTTTACTTACAAAGTTGTTTTCCTGGCAATGTAGAATTCTTAGCATTTTGTGTAGTATTTGGAGGATCTTATCTGTTTTGGCGCGAAACGTGCTATAAATTTTAAAGTTTTCCACCACATCCCAAAAGCCTCTTGCTTAATATACCAATACATAGCCCTGACCTAATCAATGACTAGGCTACTGCCATCAGCAGCTTTTTTAACTTCCAAAGAAGTTCCTGAACGGAAAATCTACAAAATTTCAACGGCATCCACAATACTCACCTGACCTATTCGAAAAACCATGCTAAAAACTTTCCTCCTTTGTTTTATTCATAGCTTTTTATTTATTGTTGGTATCAAAACCATGAAAAGAGAGAAAGAAAAAGATGAAAAGCGTATGTATGTAAATGTGAATGTAGTAATCCATTGCCGAGATGGTGGTTGGGCAAAAAAGATTTATTCCTTTTCAACACATGTTTTGTGGCATTTTGTAAAGGAGTAAAGGAAAATTTTCTCAGAAAACTCTCATTTTACTGTGTGTTGAAATAAAGAACCAAAGCAGTGAAGCCATAGAAGAAAGGAGACTAGAAAAGGATATGTAAAATACAATAAAAATTTATAAAGAGGAACAATTTTATGAAAATTGTTGAAAAAAAAAGAGATGGGGAGGAAAATTTGTATGTTACCGTCTACAGAAGTATAAAAACAAGTTTTATGATGAGAATAAGATTTTTACAGTTCATATGTAATGAATTCATAAACAAATCAGGTTATGATTTATTCTTAGTATTTTTCATGCTGAATTACTGAATGTTTGTTTCTTCTTTGTTTGAAGCGAATATGAATTCACGAATGATCTAGATATTAGGGCTTATTGAGGTCAATACTTTTCAAACTCAGATGATTCACAGAAAAATAACATGAACTAATGGCTAGCTTGGTTCGATATGGATGACAAAGAGACTCTAAAGCAGCTCATGGCTTTTATTGGATGGTTGAATTGGGGCTGTCGAGAACCTATATAGAGTTAATGATACTACAGGCCGACGTCACATTAATTTAAAATTGGGATCTACCAGGTATCATGCATTAATGCGTTCCATTCACTCTTTCATACCAATCGCATTCCAAACATCCCTTTATTAAACCTCATTAATTTTTGAAATTTAATTTAAAGGATAAATGGGGAAGCATTTCAAGCATGAATTCACACAGGCAAACATTTACTCTATATTTATTATTATTCTCATGTTTGTGTTTTTTTCGAGGTCAACTGCTTCCATCTTCAAGTGTAAATATACATTTGTGGAAAACTCACAAAAATTTGCCACGATGTTATCTCATTCGACCCGGAAAAAGAAATTTATAGCTTTTTATTTAATGTGAGAAAATTTTTGCCTTGCATAATTTGAAATTTCATTAAAAGAAAATTTTCACGCTTGATGATGTGCATGCACATAGGAATCAAATGAGAGAGGGAAAAAGCAAGTATTTATCTACTCATTTTCCTCCCGTGTGGTTTTTTAAAATGAAATTAAAATTAAAATAATAATTCTAGCTCGAGTGAGTTCTAGGAATTAACATCTATTACTCTAATTAAAGGTCTCGAGATTTCATGTGCAAGAGATAAAATCAATTCAAAATAATCTAACCTTAATTAAACTTTACATCCCCAATTTGCTACAAGTCTAATTCTATTCATCCCTAAAGCCATTTTACAAGATTACATGCATGAAATAAATTTTTAATTATCCGTGTAATGTAGAATGAGACAAATACCCATGAAGGAGAACGGAATGCAACAGGTTTATATGTCATAAATTAAAACTTAATGAAGAGAAACAATTTTTGTGGATGCTTTGAAGTTGAATTTTGTGTAAGAAAATGTTAGTTGATTTTTGGAGAATTTGGTGCCAGGGTAAATGACAAATTAGAATGCCAGTGAGTTAAGTTATTAACCATGGTTATTTGTAACTGTTTGGCTGGAGCCAAGCCATTATGACAAGGTACAATATTATTCACGTGAAAAAAATCGGACTGTGTTCGAAGCAAGCAGGTACCT